ATCTACTTATAAACGATCTTTCTCCTCTTATAATATGTTTACAGGAAACCCACCTTAAAAGTAATAACTTTAACCCTTTCACTCACGGCGTCCACAAATGTGGACATACATTTCTACGCGCTCAGTTGTACGAAATTATAAGAGTATGACTGTTTGCTCATGTTGTCCACGTTAAGGGACCTCTAAATATTCCTTATTCATGCACTAGACCCCATCTGTTGGCAAGTAGAAGAAACGATCGAAAAAGTTTTAGTAAGATTCTGGCCACTGTGCAGACATCTATACCGCGCAAAGAACAGTAATTTATTTTTAGACTAGGTGACTCACCCACATGTTGTAAAAATTATTATATGTTCGAAAAGGTGCATTTTGTGGAATACGAAGTTGTAAGTGGAATAAATTGATTTTTGGCTTTGTATTCTTACTGAAAAGTGACGTCCTCACTTGTGGACTCTGTGAGTAAACGGGTTCTTCTAGAGTAGGTAAATATAACCTAGTCCATTCATAGCGAATGTTCACACATGGTATAGATTTAGCCTGTACAAATGCATGGCTAGAATATAGTAGGCAAGCAACAAATTTGCAAATACCAAAGCAAAGAATCTTAGATTTGGTGCACTTTCGCGCAGAAATTGCTGAAGTTCTTTTAGCTATAGAAAAAACAGTCGATAAGGCCTGAACCCAAAAACACCTAAAAGAAAAAACATTGAAGTACGTCCAGTGAAGGAAGTAAGATTGGACAATGTAGGACATTTACCTTCTATTGATAAATTGAAAAATGCTTCGCGTTGCAAGAAACCCGGATGCAAGGGAAAATCTCGTACATCTTGCCTCAAATGCAAAGTTCATTTATGTTTGACCAATATTAACAATTGTTTTGTGGAGTACCACAGTATATAAATCATGTATAATGTGCATTGAATAAATATTATCATTGTTCTCATTATTTATTTTTTCTCTAACCCACAGTCTTTTTACCCCGTTATCTCACAATGTCCTCATGTGTGGACATGCTATTTTTCAAAAATGGAAATACTTTTTGACTTGGAATAAACTCCATAAATCTTAAATAAATTCAAGTAACCAATATTCAAAATTTCAAATTTTTAGGCTGAGTTTAAAAAAATCATGAGCGAAAGGGTTAATATAAAAAATTATTCCCATTTCCTTAAAAATCGAGACGCAACATATGCTAGTGGAGGTGTTGGTATTTTTGTTAAAAATCACATTCAGACCAAAGAAATTAAGCTACACACTAATCTAGAGGCTGTAGCTGTATCAGTGTCATGCAATATCAACTGCAGACCTATTAACATATGTAACATTTACCTCCCTCATCCAAATGAAAATGTACTTGAAGAGTTACATCGCTTAATCGATGATATTCCTGCTCCCAAACTAATACTTGGTGACTTGAATTGTCATAATATCACATGGGGTAGTATAAAAACAGACAAATGTGGTAGAATTCTTCAGAAATTAATAGACAATCAAAATCTAATTTTAATGAATACTGGTAAATCTACTCATTTCAGCTCCCACAATAGTACTTTTTCTGCCATCGATATTTCATTGTGTGATCACACATTAGCTACAAGTTTTTCTTGGAATAGTCTTGATTATCTATATAATAGCGATCATTTTCCTGTAACAATTGAAACCATTTTGCATGATCAACCAAATATTCCTGTTTACCAAAAATGGAAATTAAACTCAGCAAACTGGGACTTATATAGAGATCTATTAAATAATTATCTTACGAACTTTACTCTAGAAGATAGCATAGATTCATCTCTTTATCATTTCAATGATACTATAGTAAAATGCGCTAATATTGCAGTGGGAAAAACAAAACCTTGTAAACGAAAACCAGTACCATGGTGGAGTGAAGAAATAGCCTTAGCTATGAAATCTAGCAAACATGCTTTCAATGTTTTAAAAAGACATAAAACAACAGAAAATGTTATCAATTTTAAAAAACTTAGAGCAAAAACTAAATATCTTATTAAGAAAAGTAAAAAAGAAACATGGTCAAATTATGTCTCTACCATAAATTCATCAACACCTATGACTACAATCTGGAATAAAGTTCGTACATTAAAAGGTGAACAAAACTCAATTCATATTAACACTCTTTATTATAAAAACAAATTAATATCTTCCAAACAAGAAATTAGTAATATTATGTCAGATGTATATAAGAATAATTCAAGCAATGCAAACTTCAATCCCGCATTTTTAGATTTCAAAAATAAACGTGAAATGACAGATATATCTATAATAAATAGTGATAATCCACTAAATTTCCCCATCACATATCAAGAATTTGAAGAAGCTCTAGATAAATCAAAAAACACTTCATCGGGTCCTGATAATATACCAATCATATTTATCAAAAACTTGCCATACATAGGAAAATTAATTCTCTTAGACATTTTCAATCACATTTACCTTAATAAAAAATTTCCTTTAATCTGGTCTGAATCAACAATTATTCTCATATTAAAACCTTTCAAATCAAAAACTGACCCCTTTCCTATAGACCAGTTTCTCTTACAAATAATACATGCAAACTACTAGAAAAAATTTTAAATAACAGATTAATGTGGTTTCTTGAAAAAAACCAATTATTAAGCCATATCCAAAGCGGTTTCAGAAAAGGCAGATCAACTCACGATGCCTTAGTAGCTATTGACAATATTATATGCGAGTCCTTTAGAAATAACCAGAAAGTAATTGCCATATATTTTTATATAAATAAAGCATTTGACACTGCATGGAGATACAACATTTTACAAACCATGTCCAATTGGGGTATCCAGGGAAATTTTCTTGCCTTTGTAAAACATTTCATGAATAATAGGATATTTCAAGTACGTGTAAATGGAATTACCTCCAAAACAGAATGTCTTGAAAACGGTATTCCACAGGGCTCAACCTTAAGCCCCACTTTATTCTTAATAGCAATTAATAATATCGTTTAAGAGATAAAGCTACCTTTGAAAGCAGGTCTGTATGCAGATGACTTAGTTGTATATACTAGTAGCTGCAATATTACACTAGCCTCAAACATTTTGCAATCATTTTTGCATAAACTAGAAGACTGGTCCCAAAAGACTGGTTTTACGTTCTCAGGTGATAAATCTCGTTTCATCGTATTCAATAAAAGAAAAACTGATTGCAAAACAACACTTACTCTAAATGGTATCAACTTAGAACAAGTAGAGAGCATTGACTTTCTTGGCCTAAGACTGGACAGTCAGTTAACATGGGCAGAACATATTAAAAAGCTAGTCGTATCCTGCCAATCTAAAATAAATCTCCTTAAAATGCTATCAAACCGATCTTGGGGAGCGGACACCATAAAATTGCTGCATATATACCAATCATTAATCCGAAGTAAACTGGATTATGGTGCAATATGCTATTCAACTGTGAGTAATTATATACTTAAAAAACTAGACATTATACAAAACACATGTTTAAGACTAATTCTGGGTGCTTACCGAACTAGTCCTGTTTCAAGTTTTCAGGTTATCCTAAATGAATCTCCCCTATCAATACGAAGACAACGCATTTCTTTAAATTATGCCGCGAGATTGTCTTCCAACCCTAATAACACAAACTATCCACTTCTTTATAAAATATATCCACCTACTCATTGCCATCAACAAATTAAATATCCACTCCTTAAAGAACGTCTAACGAGATACGGTTTTGACATGGAACAGCTCACACATTCTTACCCTACACAACGAACTATACCTCCCTGGACTATTAATTTTCCCACCATTGATCTATCCCTCACGGCCTATCCAAAGAGTACCACAAATCCCATAATCATTAACAAATTATATCAAGAACGGATATTAGAATACACTGGCCATAACAAGATCTTTACCGATGCATCAAGAACTGAAAACGGACACGCAGCGGCCTTTATTCTAGGAAAGTCTAAATATGCAGTTCGCATCCCTCAATTCTGCAGCATTTTCACGGGAGAAGCAATCGCCATTTTAAAGGCTTTAGACATGTGTAAGAGTCATGCAAGCTCAGATTTTCTTATCATTACTGACTCTTTATCTGTTCTTCAGAGCTTAAGGCAAATATATCCAGTACATGCTATCCTGCAACAAATACAATTAGCACTTTATCACCTACAAAACAGACACGTGAACGTTACATTTCTCTGGGTACCATCACATACAGGTATCGCAGGAAATGAAAAAGTAGATGAATTAGCAAAGAAAGCTGCTACTGACGAGCAAACTGAAATTATGACTACAATTCCATTCAGTGATATCCAGCTCAATATTAAACAGCACTGTGTAAAAAATTGGCAACAAATGTGGAATTTTACTAAGGCTAACCTTAAAAACGTGAAAACTAGGATTGGCACTAAACTACCATTTCCAGAAAACAGACGGCAACAAGTGATTATAAACCGACTAAGAATTGGACACACAGCGTTAACTCACCAGCATCTCATAACAAAAGAACTACCACCTGAATGTTCCTATTGTGAATGTCCAATAACTGTTCAACATGTATTGATTGAATGTCCTCTTTATTCCTACGAAAGAGCCATCAACAACGTACCAGAAGAAGCCAAGAAACTTAAAGATATGTTAAACAGTAATGTATCTAATACAATCAAATTCCTTAAGGACATACGTTTACTACACAAAATTTAAGTTATATTATATGTATCTCTTTGTAATTTGTAATTTATTATGTGTAATTTAATACGCAATTTGTAATTAGTAAATTTGTATTTGTAATAACAACTGTAAAATCTGTAAAACCCGCTAATAACCTTTAATGGTTGATGCGGAAATTCTAAATAAATAAAAAAAAAAACTCTTGATGGAAATATTTAATTAAAACGCAGAATGGGGCGGTTTGATGATTAAAGAAATATCGAGGAAAATGCGCAGCTGTAAAGTAATTTTATGTTGAAGATATTCCCACAACTTCATTTTACTAACTAGTTTACTTACCTTAATAGCTTCGTTATCCGTATCGAAGTGTCCTTGTCTGACTCTATTAATATCTTCATCGGTTACACCGGGAATGTAAAGTTTACAATTGTCATGCCATGTTTGAAAGTCGGTCTTCATTGGTTCATCGAAATCCTACAAATAAATAGTATCAACTAACTGTGACAATAAAAAATATTAGGGGTATATAAGTATAGTATAGTTAAGTCCATGGTTCTTTATTCGCGCGTCTTCATTTAAAGAATACGAAAAATGTCGGAAATTTATTTTAAAAAGGTGTCATTGCAAAATCCAATATCAATGTGTGTAGTGAAACTAAAATTTCCGGTTACAAAGAGTATCAAACAGCAATTTCAGTTAAAAATAAATCAATAGAAAACAACATAGTGTTTACAAACGAATACAAAGGTAACACTACTATTGCTGTAGATAAAATAGAATAATTTGAAAGAAAAGTGTTGAGGACCATATATGGCGGAGTAAACGAACAGGGTCTGTGGAGAAGGCGATATAACTTTGAACTCTATAGACTTTTTGGTGATGCAGATATTGTGAAGACCATCAAAATAAACCGCCTAAGGTGGGTGGGCCACGTTATGCGGATGGATGAGAGTAATCCCACTAAAATAACTATGCTAAACAGGCCGATCGGAAGAAGAAGAAGGGGGCGACCTAAACTCAGATATCTGGACGATGTACAGGAAGATCTAAGGGAGATTGGAGTGAGGGGCTGGAGAAGGCAGACACTCGATAGGGTGTTCTCGGATGCGACTAGTTCGCGCTCGAGACGCATCGCCCCGCCCCTCATTTTTTCCTATTGGTCCCTGACCTGGAAATCCCTATTTATCGTTACTTAAGCGTGTATAAAAATAGGCGATTTTCAGGTCAACCAAGTCAGTCCCACACGGGCTCTCCGAGAGCTTAGTGCTCTCGGTGCTCTGCTTTCTTTTTAGCTTTTTCCCATACTCTGTGGCTGAGTATTATTTCAACAATATTTGGTGTTTTATTTACTAATTAGTCATGTAAGAAATATCTTGCCTTTTTCAAGGCAAGTCATCGAAGCTGAGAACCTGATGTCTATTTCGACAACTTCATCGTATGTCATGTAAGAAATAGCTCGTCTTTTTCAAGACGAGTTCATCGGAAGAAAACTTTACAAGTTCATATCCTGAAAATGGACTTGGGTAGAGGTGCTTTCGTTGACGTCTCCGAAGCCCTCTACAGAGCACACGGAGGCAATAGAAGGATGATAGACCGCTATTATTTACCCCGAGGTGACAAGGGAAGGATGGAAGAATGTTTTGAAGCAGGCCAAGGCTCACGAAAGGCTGTAGCGCCATCTGATGATGAAAATAGAATATGCATTTCTACACAATCAAAAATTACTAGCTATCTTTATTGATATTAATAAAGCTTTCGATACTGCATGGAAATATAACATCTTAAAAACACTACAAAAATTTGAAATCAGGGGCCACACACTAGCTTTTATACAAAATTTCTTAACTAATAGGCATATTGAAGTAAGAGCTAACGGTAACAACTCTGGGTTATAACGCTCTCTTGAAAATAGAATTCCGCAAGGCTCCATTTTAAGCCCAACATTGTTTCTGATTGCAATAAATAATATCTTAAACGAAATGAGATTACCGATTAAAGTCAATTTATACGCAGACGACTTGATTATCTACCATAAAAGCAGAAGTGTGGAATGTGCGGCTGAAGTAATATAGATGTTTCTACATACGCTGAAAAAATGGTCACTTAAAACTGGTTTTAACTTTTCTCCTGAAAAAAAAACACAGTACATATTATTCAGAAAACGGAAAAATATAACAAACGTTAATCTAACTTTAAATGGACATACTCTAAAAGAAACAAACGAAATAACTTACCTGGGTTTAACTTTAAATTGCACTTTAAACTGGAAAAGCCACATGCAAACCTTGCAAAAACAATACCAACCTAGAATTAATCTCCTGGAAATTCTCTCAAACCGTACGTAGGGAGCAGATACAAGAACCCTATTAAACTTATACCAATCACTTATACGTAGCAAATTAGACTACGGCTCAATATGTTATGGTAATAATTGCTCTGTGCGCAATTAGAACTAGCCCAACCAATAGCCTTCAAGTATTAGCTAATGAACTACTTGAACACTTACGAAGGCAACAATTGTCACTAAATTATGCAACTTGTATATCATCAAATCATCAAAATCCCATGCATTCAAATATCTTAAAACCTAAATGTATCAGTAATTACAAAAATAAACCGATTTATACACTCCCTTTTCATGAAAGAATCAAATTCAGTGGTTACGATTGTGAGCAGTTTAGTGCCATCATAAATCCAACTCAAAACTTTCCCTCTTGGTCAACTAGTCCACCAATTGTAAATGCATCCCTTACTCGCTATCACAAACATTCACTAACCCAACAGTAATACATCAATAATACCATGAAATAATATCCCTATATCCAAATTCTGAATATATCTACACTGATGCATCAAAAACTCAATCAGGACTAGCAGCGGCTTACATACATGAAGCAGACCACTTTAAAATACGACTCACTTCGAGTTGTAGCATATTTACCGGAGAAGCAATGGCTATTTTAGAGGCACTGAAAATTTGTAGAAGAAAATCCGCACCTCATTATATTATAATATCTGACTCATTAAGTACACTAAATGCTTTACAGCAATTGTATCTATCAAATAAAATTATAATGCTAATAAAAAATGAACTCATACTACTATCAACAAAAAACATAGAAATAACTTTTTTATGGGTGCCATCACACGTGGGAATTAAGGGAAACGAAGCAGTGGACCAACTTGCGAATAAAGCTGTACTAGATGAAAGCATCCCTGTGTCACACATGATAACAAGAAACGACCATAAAACCTCCACTAAAAAACATATTACCAACTTATGGCAGTGTAACTGGAATTCCACATCCAACAAATTAAAAGATGTTATAGAAACTGTCGGCACCACCTTACCACTCCCACTCAAACGTTGTGAACAAGTGATAATAACTCGACTACGATTAGGACATACTATACCGACCCATATTCACTTAATAAATAAAGAAGCTGAACCATCCCTTTTTGCCACAGCTTCAAGATCCAAATCACTGTGAAACATATTCTGTTATAATGCAAAACATACACCCAAGAAAGAAGAAAAAATAACCTCTCTACCAACATGAAGGCTCTACTTAGCTACCAGTTCGACAAAGTGCTGAAATATTTGAAAGACATTAAATTTTATAGTGTTTAATAGAACATAGTAAGTTATACATATATATATATATATATATATATATATATATATATATATATATATATATATATATATATATATATATATATATATTGTAAGAAATTGTACGTGTAATTTGTGTTTGTACTATCTGCTAATAACTTTTAGTAGTCGATGCAGGGTTATTTTTGTTTAAATAAAAAAAATAAATAAAAAAAATAGAAGATAGATATTTTAGAACACACTTAATTTTCACTTTTCAATTTTTGAATATTTTTAATTACCCAACAACTCCAGATTAATTTAGTTTAACACAAAAAATCTTTTTCGTAGTATGTCTCTTACAGAAACTTTTGTTTTAGTAAAAAACCTTTTAGACCATAATACTACAAATCCAACCATTACATTTAAAATTTTGCCAGTTAGTATTTTGAGAACGATTTCCGAAGTGGAAATTGAAACCTAAACAAACGTATTTTTATCTTAAATTGTGGCTTATTCCCATTTAAATAGTAGTTAATTTAAAATACCACAAGAAAATAGCTTCAGAATAATAATAAGAATAGAAGACTAATATTCCTACTATTTGATGGTGCAAAATCGCATCTGGACATAAGTATTGTTGAAGCTGCAGAAAAATTTAACCAAAATGCGATTTTGACAAACGCGTGTCAACGTTTGCCAAATACGAAATGACAAACACAGATAACCTAAGACATATACCTATAAACGGCAGTGAAATAGAACAAATCCAGGAATATATCTACCTAGGTCAAATCCTGAGACTTGACAAAGAGAGAAATTACTAGAAGAGCAAGACTAGCATGGGCAGGATTTGGAAAACTTAGTTGGATACTTAAGAACCGCAAAACACCCCAATACTTCAGGAGCAAAGTGTTAAACCAATGCATCCTTCCTATCATGACATATGGATGTCAAACCTGGACAAAACAAAAGTTTTCAGAGTTTAATTTTTATATAAAATAAATTTCCATCAAGTAACGGTCGAATCCATCACTTATGTGATACGTACTTACTTTAAAGGGTAATACAGCATAAGATATTTGTGCCAAACACAGTACAGCGAAAGCAATTATTGTCTTCTGCATGTTAATAATCTAATACTGAGAAATAACCGTACTGAGTATTGATTAATGTTAAACTGACTCGCAAAATTCTTTTGATTAATATATTTGCCATTTAATCAAGATTATTACCTTATCATAATCGTTGAAGGCCTTTCCTATTTCTCTAAAAAGGTATAAAAAGAAAATAGCATTGCAAAATAGATTTCATCAAATTAAATAATAATTAAGATAAGAAAATATGAGTTTAACTAGAACGACAAAATGGTGTTAACAGATAATAACTTAATTGCACAGCTAAGCAATATTCTAAGATAAACCATTCGCTGCCAAACTTCATTTTTTTTAAGTTTATAGCTTAAGTTTATAGCGCGTACAAGTCAATTTTATGTTCTGAACTTATAGAAAATATTCAGAAAACTCTTTTTACAATAGCTATGTGATTTTTTGTTCTAATTTTGGTAAATGGCCTTTTTCTTCTTCTTTGCGTGCTATGTCAGAATTATCCGACGTTGGCGATCACCAATGCGAAGGCTTCTCTTTATCTTCTGCAATATGGAATAATTATTCCGCATTTGATATCCGAGTCCATTGACGAATGTTCCTCAACCAAGAAACCTGTTTCCTTCTTACACCTCTACGGCCCTCTATTTTGCCTTTAAGGATCAGTTGTAATATTTTATATCGACTTCCCCTTACTATATGTTCCAGATAAGACATTTTTCGATCTTTAACAGTCTTTAGCAGTTCTCTATCTTTGTTGACGCTCCTTATTA